TTGAGAATATCATGCATTCTTGTTTTCAAGAATGCATGATATTCAATTAATTAATTAAAGCTTAACCTCATACAATCATACCCACATAGTACTCAGATAGGTTCGTTGTAACTGGGTAGTTTCCTGGGTCAAAAATAAATTAATTTGATTTCCAGTCCAATTAAATATTGAAAAATAGTTACACTTTCATTAATGGATTTGTCGATATACTTAATTTTCGATTTATACTGTCATTTTTTTTAGATATATAGGTAAATGTGCTATTTGACGCGAAAATATGATGACGTCATAAGTTCCCTACTTAATTTAACCGTACAAAATTCAAAGTTTTTAACGTTTCGATAAAAGTATTAAATTTGACTAGTTGTCAACTACCGTACTGTAAGGCGATGGTTGCGTCCCTATTATATTGAGACCAAAGACAAGCGTAAATACTAGTATATATTTCCAATGACAATAATCTATGACTCTCATTTTTAATAAATTTATATAAAAATGTTATTACGAAACAATTTCATCACACACAACCTTATTTTTGGAAAAATGAAAAATGTTTCTTCAAAATACTAGCCCTTAAGAACTTAAGACGAAATGAAAAGCTTGTCTTTCACATCAAAGAGTATTTAAGCTTGTTTAAAGGTACCGAGGTGATTGCGTGTAATACTGGCTGGTAGGCCATGATGCGCGGGCGCCCGTGACAGATTCGATTTGTCCATTGTCCGGTAGCGGTAACCATTCGTTACGGGAACGTTCGGTTACACTATTAAACGAAGGTTAAACATTACTACCACAGATTTGCCAACTTTTTTACGTAAACAAACATATATAAAAGATTTTGTTGTTGCGGAAGACGTTCATTGAATGCTGTATTTTGAAATACTGGCCCGTAGGCAGTACATGGAATTTTATTGTGCTTAATATGTTTTCTATAGTTGCTTACTGTGTATATTTTGAGTATGTGCTGTCAATGTCTTCTTATGAAATTTTAAGGTTGTTTGTAGATGAAACCTGACTTGGACCTGCTTAGTAACAATAAAATGTGTGGGTAGGAAAGTAGTGACTGGTTAACGAAAATGCTGCTGTAGTTGTAGACAACAACTACAGCAGTAGTCAAAGTAGTACAAATTTTCAGTTTTCAGGTTAAGTTTTCATGTTTCGGCACGAATGGGCCGGCTCGACCGGAGTGATACCACGTTCTCACAGAAAACCGGCGTGAAGCAACGCTTGCGTTGTGTTTCGTCGTGTGAGTGAGGTTACCGGAGGCCCGATTATTCACCCCTTCCCCAATCTCCCCAATTCCTGAATCCCCAACGATCCTCAAACTAATAATCCCCAAAAGGCCGGTAACGCACTTGTAACGCCTCTGGTGTTCCCGACGCCGCGCCGATTGCTTACCATCAAGTGATCCGTCAGCTCCTTTACCGGCTTATGCCATAAAAAAAAGTTAAAGGTTAGACAGCAAATTGCCAATCGTCTCTCTCTATACAAAAAAAACGGCTAGTTAAAATCCAGATTTGAACATAAACTAAACGCCATTAAGTCGGTGCAATTGGCTGAAGCGCCACGCAATCTATCAGTGGCATCGATTCAATTAGTGGTAGAACAATAGAATAGCCGCCACGGTCGGGCCCCGCCAAACACTGTCCGCCATCGAACTTGCCCGACCGTAACCAAACGTTATTACACTTTATAACCAAATCCTATTGTTTTGGGAATAAATAACACTCGTCTCGTGTTCGCGAACTTGTTCTCCGTTATGGTAATGCTATTTAATTTTCTATATCGTTTCACATGTAATAGTTGTAACGGTTTTTCTAAGCTTTGCGCTTTGGTGTGCGTTTCCATCATTGATGTCTTTTGCGAGGGTGTTTTCCTCATTTTTTTTAACGTCAACACTTATATACAAATTGTTGACGATGAAGAAATGTACCAAACAAATAAATAATACTTACGACAAGAAAAAAAAGGAGTAAACTTTCAGTGCTTTTAGACTTATTCAAGATTATAGTATTTCTATGTCAAGACATTCATAAGCATAATATTAGACGGGAATTTTTAAAGAAGGCCATGAGATCTCGATATCTCAAAACAACAGAAGATATTTAACGCGACCATAAGAAAAAATATCGTAAAAATCTTTTATATTGTGCCCAATTACATGAAAAGCGCGAGGCACATATTTCACATACGCACTTAACCTATTTCTGTATCTCGACACGAGTAAAAGAACACTTCGCAAATCGTAAGGTAGGTATGCCGCGATCGTAAATCGATCGAAACGACTCTTATTTCAAATGTCGGCAGCAAGGAACATGGCGATCAATAAAGGAGGCTGAATTTATCACCGAGCGGTAACGCTAGGATGTTTTAATCTTTCGGCGCGTGGGCTGATCTTTAAGCTCACATTATGTTTCGTCAGGACACGCCATTGCGGGTTTTTCGATGATTGTACCTATAAATCAATCGCTCTGTATTTAAGTTACTTTTTGGTTCAATTTCTGATACTTATTTAGGTAAGCATTAACTTTAAATGGTAATGTCACTTGACAGGGTGGTATTTCAGTATTGAAGCAACTGAATATAATTAATTATTGATGACCTCGGATCTCCTTATGAAGTATTTTGTTGTTAGCAAGGAAAAACTACCCGTTTAAGCGAGAAGAAATAATTTTTTAACCCACATAAAAGGGATACTTTCTTCTAAGTTTTTGCTAAGCTAATATAAGCTTTATGAGGCGAAAAGCATGTAGGTACAAATCAAGTCACTAATAATAGGTACCAAAGGGCACAAATGACACTTGAGTAATTTTAATACTTAAGCGTGGGCGATCTGATTAAGGCAGAGCCTACACAACGTCCACATGTAAATGAACCATCATAAAATATAAAGCACATGCGTTAAATAACACCTGACAAGTTATTTTTAGATGGAAAACTATTCTCAAGGACTTAAATGAGGTTGCTTCTTTAAATTCCCTTTTTTAAAACAACGTTGTCCCACACTAGGTTCCCCTGTATCGTGGGTGCGTTTATAAATATACAAATTTACATACACATGATACCCAGACCCGTAACAACAATTTGTGGATCATGCAAAGTTTTTCCGTGGGGGAATCGAACCCACGCCACGTTGCGCGGCAGTCGGTTGCTTGCCACTGCACCAACCGTGCCGTGAACCGTGTCGGTTTGGATAATATAACTAAGTCTTCAGTGACAGGCAGTATGATATTCAGAAGTTAGAAATATAAATGCTTCATCACCTTTTAGTATTACAAGCTATGAATACAAAGACAGCATCAGAAAAATACAGGTAAAGGTTTAGACAGAGTACGAAAAGGAAACATTCATTTAACTCGTCAAGTATTAATTTACTTTCTAAATTGACTTTTAAAATAATCCAAAGTCAAAGTCAAAGCATTTATTTTTAATAAACCATAATTTGGTACTTTTGAAACGTCAACACATATAAAATAAATAATACTCTGTCCGTCAGTGAAGCTCGTTCCAAAATGTAGATTCGAATGGAGAAGAACGAGCAAGAAACTCCATTAATAAATAAAATAAAATAAAAAGTGTTTATTGTAACAAAAACCTTAGACACACAGTTTATGAATACTAACATCTAAACTAGGCCGAGCCTGTACCTTAGATGTTAGTTCCTTCCAATTGATACAATATATTATTTACAATTTATAGCTTGTAATGTTTTATAATACCATTGATATCTAATGCACGAGTATGACAATACAATAAAACAACCTTGAGAGACAGGAGGGTACCT